ATTGCGTAACCGTAGTTTAATGGAACCCAATCGAAGAAAGTTAGCACTCCCTTAAGCTCGATAAAAGACTCAAGCCTGCTTCTAGACTTGCCATTCTAGAAGCAGGCTTCGGTCAAAAGCCGAGGAGCTAAACCTAATGAAACTCACGAACACGTCAAAGAATCAGATTCAACCAAACAAAATTTTCGGGTGCAGCCCAAACTACGCACGAACAGGGAAGCGCCCCTTGATCCAAATCCAGAAATTTGACATCCCCTTCCCTCTGTGGTCGCGGGAGAGGGGGACACGACAACCCTACCCCGCCAAGGAGGGAAAGGGTCGTCAAATTTCACCGCCTCAGTCAGCTTGAGGGGTCCCCTGACCCAGAATACGGCTTCCTTCCCCCTTCCCCGACCACCACCTCCCATCACGGCTATTTCTATAGTATTTAATTTTCCGTGACCCACACGCTCCTACTCAGCCCACTTTTTCCTGCAAAATGGCCAACGAGCGGGGAGCCCCAAATTTCCAATTTTCTACATTTCGCGTTCTTGAAACATAGTCCAAAAGGGGAATCAGGAGGGAGCCAAAGACAATTTTCAATGACAACATTCAAAATTTAGCGTTCGCTGGACGGTCGTCTACAAGTGGCTGGCCGAAAAGGTGTACCTCACGTTGTCTACGCTCGAATATGGCGCTGGCCCAACGTCAGCAAGAACGAACTAGTGGTAGGTTCCGAATACGAATTTGTTCTTATTCACCAAATGTCCTTTCCCTTCGTGACACCTCACCTTTCTACCGCTTCCCGTCTCATCTTCCTTCTGAATACAGTGTTTTCTACTTAAAGCAACAGTTCAGGGAGGGTCCGAAAATTTCAATGCCACTACTACTGAGGGATACACGAGCCCTAGTGAAGAACATATGCAGTGGAAATAATAAACGAACTTACCTCAGAAACTCAAAAACAGGGTGGAAAGTCCCTCAAACATGGGTGTTCTTGGGGATTTCCCCCAATAATCCCGCCCCCTTGCCGGCCGTCATTGGACGCGTCGGCAATCGTGCTCGTTTTGGGACCACAGGGAAAATTGGTTGAAAAATGGAGCGCGTTTACAGCGGGCACGTTCAGACAACTCGTCCAACGTGCGTCTTTATCCATTGCTGAGCGGCAGAGGGAGAGTACCTGTCTAAGACCCTCCCCGACGTTTTTTTCCAGTTTTTCATACATTAATCGTCTGGTTTTCATCTACAACTTCATTATTGGTGGTTTTTTCCCGCGAAACCGTTCCTGAACTGTTGCTTTAAAAGAAACCCTATCCATGAGACAACTCGCACGACGAGAAAGGCAAGCCTGACCTAGGTCCATCTACGAAAATGAGGACGAAACCTATATAACGAATTTTTCTAGATTGCTCCACAAGAATGCTGGGTTGTGAACAAAACTTTCGCCCCAGATGGGGCTCGAACCCGTACTGTCCCTACTGCGGCAAGCTGCGCTGCAAGATTACGCTACCGCCAGTGCAACCATTAATCCCAGCCCTTCATGCCTCTTTCATGTGGTGCACACCCAGCATTTTCTGTGAAACATTCGCCAAGGCCGAACTGCGGCAAAAACGGCAGTCAATAACAAAAAACAAGTTTCTAGATGCTTTAGGCTTTACTTTTTGCAGGATTATTGCTGAGGCTCACAGCTCTCCCGACGCTCATGTCCTCAGGAAGACGTTCCAAACAGGACCCACGATAAGTGACACTAGGACTAAGACCAGGAGAGGAGAGAAACGACAGGGCTAACACAAATTGCTCGCATCCTCCCCAGGCTCCCTTCCCCTTTCTAAGGCTTATAGTTAGTCGCAAACACAGATTAGCTTACTCACATTGAATTGCTCTCTACCCCCCTTCCCCAACAGACATAACGCGCCCTTTGCGAGATTCAAACTCGTCTTTTGCCGTCATTTGACCCGCTAGGTCCACCTCTTTCACTTTCTTTATTGAAGACCGATAAGGACAAAACTGTTGTAGAAGTACAAGCAATTTCGCACTGCGCTGACAAAAACCGTCAATTCAAAAGGGGTTCGATTCATGTCAGCAGCTTTCTAAGTGACCGGGTAACATGTTTGCATTGGCACAGAAATACCAGCGCTATCACCTGAACCAAAACATTCCTTGCGCTGAAACTTTTTCTTCAAAAACTTTAATGGTGATCCAACAAACCTCAAGCTCAATGGCATACTAAACTAGCCAAACACAATATAGGGCCGTTGAGAACGCTTACAAAACACCTGGCAAAATAAATGCCTCAGCAGGCTCATATACCTCCTGTAGTGAGTGGAATAAAGGCCCCTCAAGAAAATGCGTTGCGTAAAAGGCGGAATGATATTTGTTAATAGCCGCGCATGGTCTGGAGCGTCAAATCAAACTGAAGTTTTCCATCCCAATCCTGAATAATGGCTACAAACTACGGAATTTTCAGAGAATAAATTAGTTAATGGGCTTCGGGCTGCAACCTTTCGCTTCCGGAAACTACCAGCTGTCGAGATATAATTGACTCAGGCAAGATAATAGCCAGAAGTATTTGATTCCCGACATACGGCGCGAGTAGCAGACCCTCTGCCATATACCCGCCCGCCGTTCTCGAACAAAAGGGTAGTACGCGCAGAATCAAGATTTATCACAAACGCGGTCAGTAGGACAGCGCTTATAATCGGTCTGGACGGGACTCACAGCTTGAGGAACCTGTAACGCAGGAATGATGAGCAGGTGTCACTGCAGCAGGGTCAACCGTCCGTTCGAACTGTTCGAACGAAGGGGTCGCATTTTGGTCGGAAGGGGGTCGCAATTTCGAGGACTGCCAGCCACAGGCGCGTGCGTGGCGTATCCGAGGGCAAGAATTGTTTGTGCAGACCGCATTAGATTCGATTAATTATGCACAGAGAGACAGTTTTAGGCAAATTACGGTGTTTTCCTTGAGGAATAGAGAACAGTTGAATGCATCCCTATGAAAGGTTTGACTTCTCGGGGCTGAAATTAAAGTTCTTCGGGAACCTAATTTTCTGAAAGACGGGGGGGGGGACCCGGTTTTCTTTCCACAAAAAATCGTTTGAAAAAAACAATCAAAAGAAAAGGAAAGGGAAAAAAAAACCCCCCAAAAACGGCCCGGGTCTTTTGCAAAATTGGGTTTTCTTCGGGCCCCTCCTTTTCCCAGGGCTGGGGGGGGGGGGGGCATCCTTTTTTTGGAAGGGGGGAAAAGGTTATTATTTGCTGAAATAGCTCGGAAGAAAAAAAAACTTTCGCAATGTGCTTTGGGCTTGTCAAAAAAACCCTAGGGGATCCAAAAATGTGTCCGGGGAAGCGGTTGGGGGAAATTTTCTCGAAAAATGAACTTTGAAAAATGGTTTAGGGCTTGTTAGAAAGAGCAAATTCTGCTCTTTCACCCCATGGAAAGAGGGAAAAACGCAGCAATCAAAATGAAGCGAGTTATGCTCGTTGAAAGCCCAAAAACTCGCGATTTCAAAGAATGTGTTCGGCAAAACCGCCCGAAATGTTCGAACGTGGGATTTTCTCGAAAAATGAACTTTGAAAAATGGTTTAGGGCTTATTAGAAAGAGCAAAACCTGCTCTTTCACCCCATGGAAAGAGGGAAACACAGCAATCAAAATGAAGTGAGTTATAGTCGCTGAAAGCTTAAAAACTCGGTTTTGCACGGGAACTGTTCGAACGGGGCAAATTTTTGAAAAAGGGGACAATCACTTAACTTTTTATAATCTTTTGTTAGAGAAATATTTGAAGTTTCTAAAACTTTTCACAAATTTCCAAGATGTCGCATACGAAAGATTTTATGAGCTCTCAAAGTTGGAGGTGCGCCTTCTCAGAATTTTGGGGTTTTCCGCTTCTGACAGAAATACTTTTGGGAGAGTTAGGTCATCCTTGCAATTTTCTGTAAAGCCACCTCAGGCACAGTTTAAACCTACCTCAATAAGTGAAACAAATACGTCTCAAGAAAGTTACACTCTCCTAAAACTTTTTCTTCGCCGCGTCCCAGTTTTCCAGCGTCCGGGTGATACCTGCCGCGCTCCAAGGTTGACGCCGCAACGCAAACGCTTTCTGCGGCGGTTTCTGACGCAATCATGTCAGTCCTACTCTTCTTTAATCCTTCCTCTTTTTTCAGCTGTTTGAGCAGAAGTTCGTCAGTCTTCATGTTACTTGTTGGATATCCCTCCATTTGGTCTTACACATTTCGCTTTCATCCTCATTTTGGCGTGATTGTGAGCGAACAAAAATTTTGATCTCGCGAGGCTAACCATAAAAAATAGCTTTCATTAGCCAGTGCCCTGTGATTCTTGCTCCTTTGGGGCTCATCTTAGGAGATGCATTGATGGAGAACGTAACTCTCTTTGATTTACTCCCTTGAACTGCTCTTGTGATTCTTTCGGAAGCATGAAGTTTGAAGTTTTGGGCAACATGGCGTTCAGCGTACTTTTCTACTATTGCGTCACTTCCATACCTAAGACGCGCGGTTCGCAAACTGGACCCCCTTGAGATAAGGGGTGACCCCCTGAGATAAAGCGGGGTCGGCAAGAAAAAAACCCAGAAAATTGTGGCGAGAGCGTGGACGGCCGTTGACCCTGACGTATGAGCACTTATGCTACCCCGTGTCTGGCCAATTGTCGCGCGCAGGCAACTGGAAAACTAAAGGCGGACGCGCGTGCAGTGGTTGACACACAACCATCGTTTTTTGGACAACGTAGCGATATATTGATACCATATTTGTCTAATTGGGAAACGTCTTGTTAACTTTTTTGAACGTTGATCCTGCGGAGACTTAGTCAGGAAACAACATTCTGGGCAAAGTCGAAGAACGACCTCCGATGATTGTTGTCGGCTGCCAGCATCCAACCAACGTTGAGTCTCAGTTGCCATTGAAATACGGCATATATTTACGCGCACAAATGTCAATTATCCATTGTTGTGCGCTGCATGTGGCAGGCATGCTCAAAGCCATCATTAGCAGGGTGAATATCGGTCGAGGAAATATCCTTCGACAGGGGGGTCGTACCTGTTGGGCTGGTCCATGGGGGGTCGTACTCTTGGGGGTCAGTAACAGAAGTGGTATCATGGTGCAGATAGGTAATAGGGTATAGCGCAGCAGAAAATGAAAACATCCGAAAAAAAACATGATATTAAATTTTCTTTGCAGGTTCAGTCGCTCCATTCCTCCACCTTCATGAGAAGGGCGTATTTGAAGGCAGTACAAAGAATGAAAGTGCATCCCCGCAAAGAAGACTGCCACATGTGCGCACGCGCTGCAAAGGCACCTCCTCTGCCTATCGCTCGCTCCTTCTCCCTTAATACCTCGCTGAGAATGACACTGTTGTTAGGGACCCTGTCGCAAAAACGACAACCGTGAAGGAAAAGCCCTGGGCAAATGAAGTTGTTCTTCAGGTTGTAGGAGTTACGAAATGCGTTTACTACAATGCAGCTTCTGTCAACTGGTCATGATCATATGACACCTTCGAATCGATTCTGCAACTTCGAGTGAGGTCGGATGCATGGCCTATACTCAGACAAAATTCGATGATGACGATTGCCCCTTTTCCTATTGCTTATGTTGGGAGGATGTTTTCTAGACCCATTTCAAGCGTTGCCAACAATTACACTTGCAATGGTGAAGAAGGGAGCGGATTTTCAGGTGGCCGGATCCGTCCTCGATACATACTCGACGCAGATATCTTCTCAACTAGGAAATGTAGAAGAAAGCTAAGAAGACCCAGAAAGCGCAAACCTTCCGCTTTCCAAAACTATCTTCACTTTTTCAGGATCTCACGTTTTAAGAGAGATATTGCTCTTGAAGTGGCAAAAACTCGCGTGAAAATTTCAGCGTCCTCGACGTTTACTCGACGAAATTTGAGAGACCCTATCTTTCTGCATGGAAGGCTTTCAGAGCAATTTCAATACTTCTTGGAAACGCGAAATCCAGCTCTATCTAACCCTACCTCAAACTGCTTCAAAGGTTATGAAATGGAGGAATGCAACCTTTTCATCGAGGGTGTAGATTTCGACGGTTTTTTTCGGGATTTCAGCAAATCTGACCCAGTGACAATCGCGCCGCAGCTGCCGTTGAATCGGCCGTTGATTGATACACTCGGCTGTTTCGATATACTCAAGCAGGAATTAAGATTAAATCGCAACCCCGTGCCTTCAGGATTTCTGTGCATTTCTGAACGAACCTGACTTTGAGGTCACACAAAGTTAATGCCTCTTTCCTCGAGTCGATATTTCAGTAAATACACAAAAGTGTGCAGCGATGAAAGACAGTGCACAGATGACAAGATGAGGCGTCCATAACATTATTTTGCTTTTTGATTTATTTTGCAGGATTTTTTTTGATTAATTAATTGAATTTGCTCTGTTTTGGGGGTCGTGCCAAGATCTCGATTTCGGGAGGGGGGGGGGGGGGGGGGGGGGTCGTCTTTCTGCGACCCCGTACCCGACAGGATTTTCACCAT